TAATACACAAGGGGGCCCCTGCCATCTATAGGATCCTTTACAGGCTCCTCCCATAATAACTGCACACTGGTGCTCCTCCCCTTTATGTAGGCCAAGAAAAGCTCCTCCCACTGTATACATTTCGGGGCCCGTCCCTTTAAGGATCACTATATGGGGGGGCCCCTGAATATAAAATACACCAGGAAGCTCCTCCCCTCTGTAGGATACTTTAAGGCTCCTCCCCTATATGAAGGCAAGGCTCCTCCCTTAATTTATTCTCTGGGGCCTGTTCCTTTAAGGGCCACATTACTAGGGGCCCCTTAATATATAATACTAGGAGGCTCCTCCCATCTGCAGGATCCTTTACAGGCTCCTCCCATAAGCCACACTGGGGCCCCTCCCCTTTATGTAGGTCAGGCTCCTCCCACTATATACACTCTTTTAAGGCTCACTACTCGGGCCCCTAAATATATAAAATACACCAGGAGGCCCCTCCCATCTGTAGGATATTTAAGGCTCCTCCCCTTTATGAAAGGCAGGCTCCTCCCTTTAATTTATGGTCCGGGGCCTGTTCCTTTAAGGGCCACAATACTAGGGGCCCCTGGATATATAATACCAGGAGGCTCCTCCCATAATATTCCACACTGGGGCCCCTCCACTTTATGTAGGCCACTAGGGGCTCCTCCCACTAGGCACACCTGGGGGCCATCCCTTTAAGGATCACTCTATTGGGGGCCCCTGAATATATATAATACAAAAAGGCACCTCCCATCTGTAGGCTCCTCCCATAATTTATGCTTTAGGGCCTGTTCCTCTAAGGGCCACATTGGGGGCCCCTGAATATATAATACACTAGGAGGCCCCTCCTATCTTTAGGATCCTTTAACAAGCTCCTCCCATAATATTGCACACTGGGGCCCCTCCCCTTTATGTAGGCCAGTAGGCTTCTCCCACTGTATACACCCCGGGCCCTGTCCCTTTAAGGATCACTCCACTGGGGGCCCCGGAATATAGAATACACCAGAAAGCCCCTCCCATCTGTTGGATACTTGACAGGCTCCTCCTACAATCTCCACAGGGGCCTGTCCCCTTAAAAGGGTCGCACCATTGGGGCCCCTAAATATATAATACACAAAGGGGCCCTTTCCCCTTTTTGTAGGCTAATGGAATCTCCTCCCATAAAATACTCCACAGGGGCTCCTCCCCTTTATGTAGGCCAATAGAGGCTCCTCCCATAATATACACTAATGGGGCCCCTTCAAGGAGAGTCCCAAGAGATCTCATAGGTCACACTACTGGGGGCCCCTAAATATATATTACAATAGGAGACCCCTCCCCTTTATGTAGGCTCCTCCCATTAGTTACACCCCAGGGCTTGTCTCCTTAAAGGGTCACACCAGTGGGGCCCCGAAATATAGAATACAATAGGAGGCCCCTCCCCTTTTTGTGGGCTAACGTCTTTCTTTTCCCTTTAAGGCCCCTCCCCTTAGAAACAATCTCTCATGAGTCACACCACGGGGGGGCCCTGAATATTTACTACAGAGGCTCCGCCCCTTCCCAACAACCCCTCCTCAGAAAACCCATCCTGGAGGCTCCTCCCCCTTTATAGGATCAATGGACGCCCCTCCTTATGAGGCACTGGAGGCTCCGGCTCCTCCCCTTTGATATAGAAATGATGGGTGCCCACCTAAGCCCCTCCTCTAATATCAATCTGCTGGCTCTATTGACTCCTCCCCTTCACGGTGGCCCCTCTAAAATACTCCCCTTTATGGGACCAACAGAGGCTCCTCCCCTTTGATACATAAAATGATGGGTGGCCACCTCAACCCCTCCCTCAATATAGATGTGGCTCTATTGACTCCTCCCCTTTAAAATACCTGTACTGGAGGCTCCTCCCCTTTATAGGAACAAATTGAGGCCCCTCCTTTTATCATATACCACTGGAGGCTCCTCCCCTATTATAGGACTGCAGATCCTTTTAACTCCTCCCCTTCAGTAATGGAAGTCATTGTAGATATTGGGAGCACACAGCCCCCCCCCCCCCCCCGCAATGATACAATGTATCCGCCCCCTCCCCCCCCCAGAAGTGATACAATGGTCCGTCTGCCCCCCCCCCCCCAGAGGTGATACAATGTATCCGTCCCCCCCCAGCCCCCCCCCCTCCCCCAGAGGTGATACAATGTATCCGTCTTCCCCCCCCCCCCAGAGGTGATACAATGTATCCGTCTCCCCCCCCCCCCCCCCCAGAGGTGATACAATGTATCCGTCTTCCCCCCCCCCCCCCCCCAGAGGTGATACAATGTATCCGTCTTCCCCCCCCCCCCCAGAGGTGATACAATGTATCCGTCTCCCCCCCCCCCCCCCCCAGAGGTGATACAATGTATCCGTCTTTCCCCCCCCCCCCAGAGGTGATACAATGTATCCATCTTTCCCCCCCCCCCCCCCAGAGGTGATACAATGTATCCGTCCCCCCCCCCCCCCCCCAATGTATCCATTCCCCCCCCCCCCCCCAGAGGTGATACAATGTATCCGTCTTTCCCCCCCCCCCCCAGAGGTGATACAATGTATCCGTCTTCCCCCCCCCCCAGAGGTGATACAATGTATCCGTCTTCCCTCCCCCCCCCCCCCCAGAGGTGATACAATGTATCCGTCTTCCCCCCCCCCAGAGGTGATACAATGTATCCGTCTTCCCCCCCCCCCCCCAGAGGTGATACAATGTATCCGTCTCCCCCCCCCCCCCCCGTCTTCCCCCCCCCCCAGAGGTGATACAATGTATCCGTCTTCCCCCCCCCCCCCAGAGGTGATACAATGTATCCGTCTTTTCCCCCCCCCCCCAGAGGTGATACAATGTATCCGTCTTCCCCCCCCCCCAGAAGGTGATACAATGTAATCCGTCTTCCCCCCCCCCCCCCAGAGGTGATACAATGTATCCGTCTTCCCCCCCCCCCCCCAGAGGTGATACAATGTATCCGTCCCCCCCCCCCCCCCCCAGAGGTGATACAATGTATGTCTTCCCCCCCCCCCCCCCAGAGGTGATACAATGTATCCGTCCCCCCCCCCCCAGAGGTGATACAATGTATCCGTCTCCCCCCCCCCAGAGGTGATACAATGTATCCGTCTCTTTCCCCCCCCCCAGAGGTGATACAATGTATCCGTCTCCCCCCCCCCCCAGAGGTGATACAATGTGTTTCCGTCTCCCCCCCCCCCCCCCCCCCCCCCAGAGGTGATACAATGTATCCGTCTCCCCCCCCCCCCAGAGGTGATCCCCCCCCCCCCCCCCCAGAGGTGATACAATGTATCCGTCTTCCCCCCCCCCCAGAGTGATACAATGTATCCGTCTCCCCCCCCCCCCCAGAGGTGATACAATGTATCCGTCTTCCCCCCCCCCCCCAGAGGTGATACAATGTATCCGTCTTCCCCCCCCCCCCCCCCCTTCCTCCCCCCCCCCCCCCAGAGGTGATACAATGTATCCCAGAGGTCCTCCCCCCCCCCCCCAGAGAGGTGATACAATGTATCCGTCGTTTCCCCCCCCCCCCCCCAGAGGTGATACAATGTATCCGTCTTTCCCCCCCCCCCCCCAGAGGTGATACAATGTATCCGTCTTCCCCCCCCCCCCCCCCAGAGGTGATACAATTATCCGTCTTTCCCCCCCCCCCCCAGAGGTGATACAATGTATCCGTCTTCCCCCCCCCCAGAGGTGATACAATGTATCCGTCTTTTTCCCCCCCCCCCCCAGAGGTGATACAATGTATCCGTCTTCCCTCCCCCCCCCCCCCCCCCAATGTATCCCCCCCCCCCCAGAGGTGATACAATGTATCCGTCTTCCCCCCCCCCCCCCCAGAGGTGATACAATGTATCCGTCTTCCCCCCCCCCCCCCCCCCAGAGGTGATACAATGTATCCCGTCTTTCCCCCCCCCCCCCCCAGAGGTGATACAATGTATCCGTCTTCCCCCCCCCCCCCCCCAGAGGTGATACAATGTATCCGTCCGTCCGTCCCCAGAGGTTATACAATGTATCCGTCTCCCCCCCCCCCCTTCCCAGAGGTGATACAATGTATCCCCCCCCCCCCCTGCGGTGATACAATGTATCCGTCCCCCTCCCCCAGTGAGGGTGGCTTCCTTGGCTGGGAAGGATGGGCGGGGCTTGTTCCTGGGGAGTCGTCCGGGATCTCTGCTGCCATCCACTGGCCACCGCCGGCAGGACAGGTGTGTAGCTCCGCCTTCTGCGCATGTGATGTGTATATAAATAGTTAACATTGAATAATATTAGAAGTTTTATTTTATTAATCTGTATTTTTAGATTCCTTTTATATTCTCTTGCTGCGTTCTCCCCCCCCCCCCCCCCCCCCCCCCCCCTCCAGGTCTCTGACGAGTCGTTTGGGAGAATTATTGTAGCTGAACGGCGATAAATAAAGGTACCGTACCCAACACGCACCCTTCATGTACCCAACACGCACCCTTCATGTACCCAACACGCACCCTTCATGTACCCAACACGCACCCTTCATGTACCCAACACGCACCCTTCATGTACCCAACACGCACCCTTCATGTACCCAACACGCACCCTTCATGTACCCAACACGCACCCTTCATGTACCCAACACGCACCCTTCATGTACCCAACACGCACCCTTCATACAAACACGCGTGTATGCCGTGTATTCTCACGGGTTCTTATTAACCACTTCAGCTCCGCAAGGTTTTACCTCTTCGTGACTGGGCCATGTTTTGCTATTCAACACTGCGCTACTTGAAAGTATTACTAAACCCCCCACAGTACAATCAGCCTGTAGATGCAGCAAAGCATGCTGGTTATATTCACTGCGGAACCTAAGGGGTTAATCCTCTGCATTGTGTAAAAAGGCTGTTGGATCCTGTCTTCTCTGCTCCTCCGCATGTTCAAATGTCCCCTTATCTCTTGATAAGACATTAGGTGTGAAGATACTCTGCACATGCTCAGTTTGGCTGGTATGGTTAGAGAGGTTGTGTTTTTTTTTTTTTTTTCTTCTTCTTCTTGG